TGGTGGGGGGGGGGGGGGGGCCAGTGCCTCCGTGTCAACAAACTTGGCCCCCGCTCTGGCCCCCTTAAATTTGGAATCGTATCACACAAAACAACTTTGGGTGCAATGTGCAGTTTGTCCTGTGAAAACATCACCAGATGCTACTGGCGCAGAGCCAGACGTTTTTTAAGTAAGATATTCATTTCATAGTGTAAACCGCTTCAGTGATTTTGATGGGAGTTTATGAGAGTGCTTGAACTCTGGCTAGACTGAAGTCAGTGATATTGTTTTTGATCATGTAAATGTTATTTGCTTTCTTTCTGTACCATGAACGTGTTATAATTTGTAACTTACAATGTTTTCATTAAATTTACATTAAATACAAAGTCAGTCGTATTAAAAATATTCCATGGCATGACACCCATATGGTCCTAAAAAGAGTTTTTTTTTGCATAGTTAATAGATAACACTATTATTGCCCATCGCCCATTATAGATCAACTAACATAATCTATAAAAAACTTGGCCCCCGCTCTGGCCCCCTTAAATTTGGAATCGTATCACACAAAACAACTTTGGGTGCAATGTGCAGTTTGTCCTGTGAAAACATCACCAGATGCTACTGGCGCAGAGCCAGACGTTTTTTAAGTAAGATATTCATTTCATAGTGTAAACCGCTTCAGTGATTTTGATGGGAGTTTATGAGAGTGCTTGAACTCTGGCTAGACTGAAGTCAGTGATATTGTTTTTGATCATGTAAATGTTATTTGCTTTCTTTCTGTACCATGAACGTGTTATAATTTGTAACTTACAATGTTTTCATTAAATTTACATTAAATACAAAGTCAGTCGTATTAAAAATATTCCATGGCATGACACCCATATGGTCCTAAAAAGAGTTTTTTTTTGCATAGTTAATAGATAACACTATTATTGCCCATCGCCCATTATAGATCAACTAACATAATCTATAAAGGTGCAAAATGCATTTACTTACACATATTGGAGAATTGAGATATTTCATAACATAGTTAACAAGTTTGGGAATATTTTGAATAAAAAGGAAAAATATTCCCCCCCCCCACTGACTGAAGGTTAGTAGTCGCTGTATTGTGGTCAGTTCTGTAATATTTGTCCACTCAGCAGTATTTTATGGCTGTATTAATGTGTTTGTGATGTGTGTCTGTATCTGTCTCATAACAGCTCTTATTCTCATCAGGTTCAGATGCTGGAATCTGCTGCTGCTTTGTCTCGTCTATCTCAGCGGTCAGTGTACTTTATGTTCATAAACTCTATTTATTCTTGTGTTCAGCGTCAGCTAGAGTTATTCTAGTGAATTATTTCTCTGTTGTGTCACTCAGTGAAGACTTGTGTTAACATTTGTGGATTGATGGAGGAAATATTCACTGGTTTATCATACAGTTCATTTATTAATAAACATCGTTCAGGAATTCATTACAACTGCACTCGTACATCTGCTACAGCTTTATATTATTTTCATCAACATTTGAAATGTTAAAATGTGCCACTGCTAATATTGCTCACTCTTATTGCCCTTATTTATATTTAAATCTATATTTCTATTAGAAATATCTGGTTGCTGCAATGAAAGTCACTTTTTTAGTGCCGTGTTCCTTATTATAAACAATTGCTGTCCTTTTTTTGTAAAAGCAGGAAAGAGTTAAAGCTAAGTAGTTTATAAGGTAAAGCTCTGGTCGCTGCATTTAGACTTCTGACTGAACCTGCTGCTTTCTATTAATTCATCAACCAGATCTCATTA